TCGTTGCACTGTCTACAATTAAATGGCGGAACCATTTTTTTTCCTTCCTCATTCTTTTCATTTAATTTTTTTTTTTTTATTTTTAAAATACGCCGAATTTTTAATCCAATTTTTTCTGATGGGTAATTTGACTGTTTCTTCACTTTTTTAATATAAGCAATACCAGCTTCTTCAATTTTTTTGAGACTCTTTCTTTAAACTTACGGCCCGCTGACACCCTCTGCTAACTTTTTGCAGGGTAAGGTTTTGTTCAGATTCGAGTTTAGACAAAACTACGTCTTATTTCGGCACTCTTACTGGATACCAGTCCTTGAGCAAAAATTAAACACTTGAATTCTTCAACCGTAATCTCTGCCAATCTGAAATTGTCACAATGTCTATTCACTATAGATGCATAAGTTAAGTAATCCTGATCGTCGGATTTAGCGACATTCATGCATAACCATCGCTTATGCCAAAGCGACATATTTGCTCCAAACAACTCCTTTAGCAATTTCACTGTTTCCGAGAATTCCAATTCATTTGTTCTTCTCGGTAGAATAAAATCTACAAATTTGCTATGTTCTGCTGTACCTAGCTTTCTTAGTAATAGACTGACTTTTCTTGAATTCGACCAGTTTTTCACAGTCTGTGTGGAAAATATCTTCATATCGTTTAAAGTACGCTTCAAACGTTTTTTTCCTTCGTCTGGCACATAGTTGAAAGTTTCCAACGAATTAAATATGATGCTATTAGAATATGAAGAGTTACTTTCATTTGCCTGATTGTTGTTTAATTTCTCCAATGTTAACTTTTGAATTTCCAAAACCTTGACATACATTTCTTCCTGTTCCTTTGACGTTGCTGACTCAACTCCTCTTGCCTTTCTTGATAATTCTGCTGTGCTAATTGTTGTTCTCTTAATAAGGCAACCTGTTCACTTTGTTGTTGCAGACTCAACTGCTGGGATTTGAATAATTCAGCTTGACTCAACTGCTGGGCTTTAAACAATTCAGCTATGACTTTGGATAATTCCTCCATTTTTAGCTGATAGTGTTCATGCAACAAAGAATATACTTTTAAATTGTTTATCCACGAATATACTATAAGCAGACAAAAAAAAATTGAAACAACTTACGCCTTTTTTAATTTTATGTCTTGCTTTATAAAATATTGTTGAGCAACCAAACAAAAAAAAATAAAATTTTTTTTTTTTTTACAAGTTCGCTTACCTTTCAAAGTCGACACGTGGTATTTGTGCTCCTTTTAATTCCATGCATGTTTTTTTTTAGTCGGCCAGCTTCTTATTTTTTTTCTTTTTTAGTCGGCCAGCATTTTTTTTTTTCGCCGTTATTTGTTTACGCCACCTTCCAGATTTTTCTGAGTGAACGTTCCTTTAAGCTTAGTCGTCCTTTAACTAGTTTTAACTGTCCAAACTTCAGAATACTTTTCCGTTCCATTAGATGTTCGACTTTTAATTAATGATTTTTTTTTCAGCCTGGGTTCTTCCACTTGTCCCAATTATTGAAGGCTATCAATTATTAATTCTTTTTTTTTCCGAAACGTAAAGTTCTTTATACCTCGTCGCCATTGTTGAAGCTTGAATAAGCATGGAATAATAATAATACAACACAAAATGTACGTAACAAAATGTATTGAAACAATGAAAAAAGGTACACAATATTTACAGGTAGTTTTGGTATATTCTTGGGACTGTTATTTTTACTATAAAAAAAGGTTTTGATTTTTCTCTGGTTGTTCCCTATTTGCCTTTAGCTGGGATTATGACATCTTCTAATAGCCTAGCTCAGGGTGAACCTGACAACAACTGTAATTAAGAGATTGTTCTGTGTAATTTGTACTTTGGCTATAATGGATATCGGCTCGCATTGAGAAACCGAGGGGCCTAGTTCAAATACTAGTTACGTTCACTGAGCAAATATTTCAGTGTTTTTATTATAAAATATTACAGAGACAGGTATGAGTCGAATAGCAGAACCTACTGGTTTATGTAGCCTTGGTTGGCAGCCAGTATATAACACAGAAAGAATTGGCCACCTACCACTGGAAAACTTTCAAACACTCTCTTCCAACCGGCCTTGAGCCAGAGTTGAAGAGTAGGCCCATAAAATTAACACGAGAATAATATCTTATGTCGATGCGCAGTTTGCATCAAGCGGAGTCACCGATTTTTATATTCACACTCTACAAAACTTCCAATCTCCCAATCAGAGGCCTTGTTACCTGTTGTAGTTTATCGTCCTACCCAGGACTAGATGTCAGAGGGAACTTCCAATGTGTGCCAATTTAAATGGATGCCATAAAACGTTTCCTTTCTTGAGAATTGCAGAGAGGAGTTAATAAAACAATATAAGCATTTTCTTGAATACTTCAGCTCTCATTAAGAGAAGACACTGTAACATAAACTCCTATGATTGATCCGATTTTTCGGCGCCCGAAAGAAGCTTTTCCGATGTTAAGGATGACCACCCACACGTAAGTTGTACTCATTACCCAAGCATTGATTTATTGGATTTAGTCAATCTTCTTCTATGTGACGCGTTCCTTCAGGACGTTGGCGATCATGGCTCTCCACAATTTCCTGTCCTTTGTAGCTCTTAGTAACTTTTGTCATTTTGTCATCTCTCCCAAACGTTACTCCGTCATCTATTCACTCAAGCTCGCCAGGTAGGTTGTGCATTGCAATCTGCCCTGTGAATATCAGATTTTCCAAGCCCTCTTTCTTCGTTATGTACTCCAGAAAATTCAACTGTCTTTTCTTGATATTAAGCATAAATGTCTTTTTTGTTTTCATTGTATCTTCGTCATTGCTCACATGTTCGCCCGAAAGCAGATTTCCGATGTTAAAGATGACCACCCACACGTAATCGTACTCATTACCCAAGCGCTGATTTGTTGGATTTAATCAATCTTCTTCAATGCACCGCGTTCATTTAAGATATTGGCGATCATGGCTCTCCACAATTTTCTGTCCTTTGTAGCGCTTAATAACTTTTGTCATTTTTGTCATCCCTCCCAAACCTTTCTCCACTATGCACTCCCTCAAGCTCACCAGGCAGGTTATACGATGCTTCCCTATGTCTCCCTTACCTTCAATCTGCTCTGTGAGTATCAAATTTCCTAATCCCTCTTTCCTCAGAACTTTCAACTGTCTCTTCCTGATATTAAGCAGAAGTCTCCTTTTTGTTGCCATTGTCTCTAGAACATTGTCGTTTCTCACATGTTCAAAGTTATTTGACATTTTTAATTTTGATTTGTTTATTTGGATACGTACTATCTTTTCTACTCGGGTGTGTGTCATTTTAATGTGTAAAATTCCCACTTTCTAATATATTTTCTGCAAGTTTGCCCCTCCCCCTCCCCAAAAAGTAGCACCATGTCATTTAGGGTAGGTCAGGAAACCAAGCCACCCCGGTCCTAAAAAGCCAAGTAATGTGGAGAAGGATAAATAAAAGAAGAAAAAATATGGCCTTTTTTTCAAACTATAGATATCCCCTAAGCTTGTTGAATTATGTTTTTCTGAAATGATTGTCACTGCGTGAACATAATACATTTAATGATTCTTTTTCCTTGTAATATTTGCCACAGGAATATATTTTATTAACTTATATGTTATATGTTTCATTCCTATGTTTCTCTCTTACCTTCAATCTGTCCTTTGAATATCAAAATTTCCAAGCCTTCTTTCCTCATTATGTGCCAGAAACGTGCTATATTTTCTACTCTGATTTGTGTTATTTTCTATTTTCTAATATATTTTTTGAAAGTTTTGACCAAAAAAATTTTTAAAAAAAAAAGAAAATCGTTAAATTTCACTCAGGAGGTTTGGAAGCCAAGCCACCCCCGATCCCAAAACGCCAAGTAATTGGAAGAATGATAAATAAAAGAAGAAAAAATAAAAGGCCATTCTCCATATTATAAATGTCCTGGCAGCATGTTGAGATATGTTTTTTGGAAATGATTGCCACAGACAATTCTTAACTCATCCGCTGGACCGGGAATTTTTTAAAGTTATCAGGCGCATTTAATTTTCTTTTAACCAATAAGCGATCGAAAGATGACACCCATATATGACGTCACCGAATTGGGGCGGAGACAACAACGAGAAGAAAAGGACAGATTAATTCCAGCCTGTCTCTCTTTATGCCATGAAATCCAGTTCCAGGGTTGAAACACGCCCAAGATGTAGATTCCCCATTATAAGGGAAGGACCAGGGTCTACTCTTGATGTCCGAGGCGCCACAAGAAGCGAAGTAGTGACGAAGTTTTTTGCCCCGAGGCATAAATTAATTAAATTCCAGTTGCAAGGTTGCCACCCGCCCAAGGTGTACATTGACCAACGAATGGGATGGACCAAGGTCAAACCCTAATACCTGAGGCGTCACAAAAACGAAGTGCCGAAGAAGCAAGGACGAGAGAAGAAAGACATTAATCCCAAGTGTCTTCGTCTCAATCCTAGCTCCAAGATTGACATGCGCTCAAAATGCACCATCCCCATTTCTCTTAAAGGGAGAAGGCCAGCGTCAATCCTTAATGCTTGAGGCGACCCAAAAAGCGAAGTAACGAGTGAACTTGACAATTTCTGGTATCACACACATGTACATGTAGTGGGGGGGGGGAATTAATTGTGACCTTGTGTCAACGTTATCAACGTGGTCGTTTTGGATGTAATAAATATATTAATTCCATCTTCTGTTTCATATTAATGCCCGATTCGCCCTTTGGTAAAAAACATTGTTCTACGAACAGTATCGTTAAAATTGTTCTCGATTATACAACATCCAACATACTGTTGTTCTTCCCGCCCCACCCATCAGTGTTCAAGATGGAACTGATGAGAGTTTTCTTGGGATCTTGGGATCTCTTTAAATATCAATACTTCTTCCAAAAGACATATTTTTCTCAATATGTTGGGTTAGTTAACAATAAACCAGTCTTATTTAGTGTTGAATATGACATTAAGTCATATAGAACATAAATCAGGGTCAGATTCAGCATTTTCAGTTAGAGGGGGAGTGTTTCACAATATAGATAGATAGATAGATAGATAGATAGATAGATAGATAAGACATTTTTTGGTGACATACACACACAATAGACGATTTAATCTTAAAGATCAGAAGAAGATTTAATCTTTAAGATTAGATCGTCTATTGTGTGTGTGTGTGTGTGTATGTCACCACAAAAGGTATCCTTTCCGGTTACATCTTTAATGTATTAGACATCCGACAACATTCATATTTCTCTCACTTAAACCGTCTTTGACTCCCCTCTCTAAAACTTCTCTCTGTTAAATTTCAATCCCCCACCTTCTCTCGTCTGTTATCCCTCTCTTTAACTCTAACATTCGTCCCACACTCTCATACTTACACTCTCTCTAAATTTTATTTTTTATTTCCGTAATTGTTTTTTCTGTTTTCTTTTTGAATTTGTAGGACTGATGAATTGGATCGTATTTACGATTCCAATGGAATAAATCATGACCATGGAATATTAGTGTCTAAGCCTTTTTATTATATATATATATATATATATATATATATATATATATATATATATATATATATAAGAAATATAGTCTTAAGGTGTGCTATATTTATGGGATAAAGTGCTCAATATCAGAGATAGAGCGTGTGTAAATATAAAAGTGAACATAGAAGTCAACACTTAGAGGCGACAGTCTGTTTCATGCTATATGCAATCGTCAGGCCTGACGATTGCATATAGCTTGAAACAGACTGTCACCACTAAATGTTGACTTCTATGTTCACTTTTATATATATATATATATAGTTAATGGTCAGAGTTGAATTAGACCAGGAAACAGTAGTATTAAAAAGTTCTCAATAAACGTATAAAAAAAATAAAAATTTACCATATAGAAGTTTTAAGTAAAAAAAATTAAGAGATCATCCAATTCCGCTACCTTGGTTTCAACCTTTCGGTACCGTCAAACGATTTCGGTCTTTTACCTGAAATTGCCTGAAGGTATCGAGAGGTTGAAACCAAGATAGCGGAATCGATCGATCTCCTAATTTCTATATTATGAAGATAACTCAGTGGTAAAAAATCTGACTGATCGGTTGGGTTTTCGATCCGGGCTTGACATATTCGGATGTCTGGTCGCACTGAGGAGCTGTGATACAGCAAGACAGTACTGTCTACGAATTATATATATATATATATATATATATATATATATATATATATATATATATATATATATTAAAAAGAACTATTAAATTAAAATTATAGAAAATAAAACTGAATATATTAATATTAAAAGACAAAATAATATTTTTCATCATGGTCAGTGAGCTTGGGCGTATAATATATATATATATATATATATATATATATATATATATATATATATATATATATGTTTTTTTTTCTTTATTTATTTAATAGGCAAAATTTTTAATTTAAACTTTTAGATTCAATGTGTGATAATAATACAATACGATAAAAAAAACTTTTCATATAACTGATCATTTTCAAATTTTCATTTATTTTATTTTGATTATCATTTTCAAATATTGATTTATTGTATTTTAATTATCATTTTCAAATTTTCATTTATTGATATTAATATGATTGAAATCGTTTCATCAGATTAAATTCAAGTTTATGGCGATGGGTTAATCTTGACTTAAGTTCGGTTACATCTACGCCACCCTGTATTAGCTTATCTTGAGTGTGACATTGGTTTAGGAAAGACCTTTGGACCTTACTTCCTCTGCATCAGTATGTGAACGGAAATAGGAACTGGTGATAGCATAAACAGGAAATGCATCCGGTGGTTAAAATAAACAGGGCGCACAGGTGTCCTGTGCGGAAGGAAATGCGTTCTTGCGTCGGCGCATGCCGGAAGAGGCGTGGCCACACAAATTTGCGTAGGCGATATACCGGAAAAAGACGTAGACACGTGATGTTGCGTAAGTGTCAAAATGTTATTTAACCGGTCCAATTCTTGGCCTGGTTAGAGGCTGGTCGGAGGTTTACCGAAGATTTGTCCCCGTCAATTCCTGTGTGCGCAATCCCAACCTCTTTGATTCTCCCTCACTCAACCCATTAACCGCAACTCGAACAATAAAGATATATATATATATATATATATATGTGTGTGTGTGTGTGTGTGTGTGTGTGTGTGTGTGTGTGTGTGTGTGTGTGTGTGTGTTCATCATCTTATTTCAGCCCAGCAGAAATATAATATACGTTCACCCTCTTCGCACCCCTCTCCACTGGATCCGCTCCTGTAAATCACAGTGAATTAATACTGAGGAAGTTTATAAATAAAGTTGCCATGTCATTTCAGGACATAGGCGGTCAAGACCCTTCACAGCTTCCTTTTCATTATTATTTGTGAATTGACATGCTTCCTGGGAAAAATAGTGGAGTAGTATTCCATTGCTTTCCCCAAGGCTTTGAATTCAAGATTTTTCTTTCTCTTAGAATTATTGTTTTTGAATCTTTTCACCCCAAGCAAAGTAAAAAGCTACTAAGACGCAAGAGGTTACTGAGTGTGAGAGAATATGAGAAAAAAGAAAATTTTACTAAGAAACGAGGACAATAAAAGAAGAAGATTTAAGAAGACAGCAGATAAAGATTAACATTGCATTTAAATTTTTGAAGTTCAAAGTTGGCTGGAAAGCAAGAAACTGAAAGAGAGTCCCACAAGCGATAAGTGCGAGAGAAGAAACTGTTAACATTACGGTTGCATTGATCCATTTCAGCTGCAAAATGAAGAGACCTTTCCGCCAATCTAGTACTGCGCTTAAATTCATAAAGTCTTTTTACCAAAGGTGAAAGCTCATTGGAACAATTACCTCGAAAGTGACTGAATGCCAGGTCAGGACTTATAAGATAACAGATTCTTCTTTAGATTTTATCTGGAATCTCTGACTATATATCAGAAACACCATACCAGATGTGAGAGCAATATTCAATGGTAAACATATGTAAGATAGAGTCTAGCGAGAAAAAAATCTCTAACACGACACAGTGAATCAACTTTCTTAGCAATAGACCTAGTAATTGATTTAATATAATATTTCCATTTCGTGTCATCTGAAACCTTTAACCCGAGAAGGCACAAAGATTTACTCCCGGGAGGTTAGCATTAGCCCTGCTGATAGAAGGAAAAAAAAAAGGTTTTCTCAAATGATTTAAAGAGGGCAATTTCGTTTTGGAGAAATTAAAATTAACAATCCATTTCTTGCCCCAGTTAACAACTGATTGTCGGTCATTTTTTTTTAGATCCGCTGCCAATTTGTTATTATCTAGCGGATCAGATTTACTAGGAGTAAATAGTTATGGCATAAGCGTAGATACTGAGTTCAAAACTTATGACATAAAGAAGGTCGCTGATGAAAAAGAACGTCGTCGGATATAACATTAGGGGAAAACTGTATTGAAGAATGGCCGTTCAAGACAACTTTCATTTCACAATTTGATAAGAAAGATACACCCAGAAATACCATAACCTTTCAACTTTTGAAGACCATCACGCCAAACCCTATCAAATGGCTTCGAGACATCTAAAACAACAGCTCAGGTTTCAGTATTCTTATCTAAAGCTTGATAGACTCTTTCAACAGTAACCGGTAATACGTCAGCAGTTGACCTAGAAAAGAGAAAGCCATATTGCTTATCTGAAAGATTACCATTCAAACCTAGAGCGCTCTGTCTACGCCGCTCTTTAAGCAATAACTGGGGAAATAAGTGACTCGTTCATGCCTTTCCAATGAACATAACTGTAAAAATGAGCTTAATCTCGGTGTTCAAATGAATTGGGCTCAACGATTACACTTTCCCCGCCAATAGCTGTTACACTACCCACACATCCGGTCTATGCTAGGGTCAAAAAAGTTTACATTGGTCGAGTTTATACCCAGAAGGTAACACTTTTTCTGGAGATCTCACCGTTCTTCAAGGGATGCAGTCGATGTATTCTAAGCCGCGCCCACAGGGTGACTTAATAAGTGACAGCATCGTATTGGTAGACAATGGAGAGTATAAATTTTTCTTATCGCAGCCTACTGTCTTTACTAATACTACCTGATATATTTTAGGTATTTTTCTTTTGCAATAACATAGTAAGCAGAAAGACATTTTCCGTTTCGAATAGCCAAAAGCTTATCAAAGTATTAAGAAACAACAATATTTCGTTATAAACAAAGAGTACTGAATTGTTACGTAATATGAGCCTTCCTAGATGGCAGTGAATGCTGAACAATCTCCTTACAGATGAAGAGACTTAAAACAACAGAAATGTTATTCTACAGAAGGATGCTGACAATGCCATGGACGAAACATGTAAGCAACGACGAATGGCAACAAAAAGAATCATTAAACTTAACATCAGAAAGAGTATAATATAATATTGAAGGAAGGCTTGGAGAATTTGACCCTCACATGGCATACTGAAAGAACGGAGGAGTGATCCATCTGACGAGCTTTTGTAAATAGATGACAGAAAAGGGAAAACAGAAACCTTACTAAGCGCTACAAAGTATAGGAAGTTGTGGAGTGTCATTATCGCCCAAATCCTGAAAGGGACACGGCAAAAAAAAAAAAGAAAAGGTATTTTTATTTACATTTCAGTCGTAGCTTTTAAGCACGAGAATGTGCAAATGGTAAAGTATAAAAACAACATGAAAGGAATTTACTAAAGTACTAACAAATTAAAATTATAGAAAATAAAAGATTGAAGATATCTTACTGATATTAAAAGAAAGACAAGATAATATTTTTCATTATGGTCAGTGAGCTTGGGCGATAACGCCGTCTTGGAGTCGCCATAAACTCTCAGATGGGTTATAAATGTGTAGATGAAATACCTCCGATTCCGAATGGTGATTTTAAAAGCCGGCAAGTTATTTCTCTATGGAAGTTTCATGCAACACGTTCTTTTCTTAATCCATACTTACCTGTTTCATTTCGTTACGTTTCTGGCTAAAATAAGCTTAGTAAATATCTAGACATTGTCCTCGTCAAATGTATGTACAGTTAACAATTTAACGCTATTAATTTGGCCCTTAAACATTTCCTAAAATGATCATCATTGATAATTGTTGTGGACTTAAGTAAGGATGGTTTTTAGGTT